GAATTTCATCCATCACCAACGGATCTTCCTCAACTTTCAATGATGCTTTCTTCATCCATTTACTTTTCAATCTTTTGTTGTACATCACGTAAACCATTTTATTCAAATTCTTGGTATGCAAGCGATTTCTCTTCTTCGTATGGATCTACAAATTAAATATGTGTAAGTCGATGGATCACAAAACAAAATGTAGGTATGTGGATATGTATACCTGATTAAATGTGCTCCAATTTCTTTCACACGCAGATGACGAACATGTAAGATTTAAGATTCTGATCGCACATGCCATTAGTTCAGGGTCCACCAATCAACTATATTATTTATAAAAAAAGAATCTAATAACAATATATATATATAAAATCGGTAATGATATTTGGTAAGAGCAATTTACTTACCAGGACTCCGTTTATGCACAGTGTTTTGTGCAACGTCATGTCCAAAGAATCCCCGCTTTAGTCGAAAGTCATCCATTTGCAAATGAAGTTTTTCTAGGATCTTTGGATCTGGAAAAAGCTTAGCCATACATCTAAATAATCCTGCCTTCACCTCTGGATTTGTAGACATTTTTGGATCATACTGAAAGCGAGGATTGAGGTAATATGCTGCAACGTGCAAATCCCGATGCAATTGTAATTCCCACCTCTTATCAATTATTTTCCGAATCTCATTATAAGAGCCAAAGTCCCGCCCTAAATTCTCAGAAATTTCTTCCTTTGCTCGATCCATACAAGCATATAGAAACCCCATACCGGGTACCATCTCCGAATCTGCCATTCTCAACACTTTAAACAATGGCTTTGTTGTTTGGACTGAATACTGCACGCTCGGCCAGAAATATTTATCACGCAGAATTATTTGTTTCACAGCTTTTGCCTCTTGTGTTTTGGATAAATGGTGTGCATTCCATTCCTTTGAAACACACATTTCCTCCAATCGCTCTTTTACGCCTAGCATACTTTCAAGTGTAAGATAGGCCGTACCAAACCTTGTTGCCGCAGGACGAACAAGATCTCGTTTGGTAAACTCTCGCATCAATGCCAATGACCATCCGTGATTATATATGTAATGAGTCACCTGCCATAATTTATAAATATAATATAAGATAATGATAAGGTAATTGAATGTTTGGTTGG